GTCCAGATGGTTCAGATTAGTTTTCCTGCACAGTCCATAAAAGGGCATGTCATGTTACTCAACAAAAACATGTTTCTCTGGTCAAATGTAATAATATAGTTAAGCCTCTAAACATTTTTTTTTTCAATTGTTCTAGTTTATTCTAAAAGTGCATCTGTTTACTGGTATTACAATCTGTTACGTAAAAGTGCCCTATTTTTCAGGATTTGTACTAAGTTTGACAACTTTATATTATGTGCCCTCAGATTCTACTGGACTTGCACTAATGTGATTGTGCCACAACATTCATTCATTCATTCATTCATTTTCAACCCCTTTATTAGTCCAATTCTGGGTCGGGGGGGTGGCAATGAAAGCTGCCACCCAGTGCTCATAGCACCAGTCCCTCGCTGATCCTCCTGCAGGTGGTGGGTCCACAGGAAGATGGCTTCTTTTTTTTTATGACTTGAACTTTATTAAGATTTTTCTAAATCAAACAATCCATAATACAATTCCACATTATATCAAGACCTTGGAAATGTTCAGAACCATCACATGACGTGGAAGATAGACATTGTATATACATATTTCTTCCCCTTATAACAATATAGGGAAGATGGCTTCTTAACGCAGCCTTGTTCTTTCAGCAGTGGCTTCAGGCAACGTGGGGTTAAGTGTCTTGCCCAAGGACACAACAGTAAAAGGTAAACTGTAATATTTATTTTCATTCTTTATGCAATCCAAAATTGAAATAGAAATATCTTGAATTGAGTTGTAAGTCGTGCACTGGGCCTTCTGCTGCCACCTCTGTCCTACAGTATGTTTAATGCTTATAGCAAAGTCAACAGAACGGCAACTAAAATCACACTGTCTTATGTGTCGAGCTCTCAGCCATGTACTGTTTAAGCAGAGAGATGTGCACAGTCACACTCCATTTGTCCTGAAGAAGTGCTAAGCCCAAACGGATATCAGCAAGACTTGAAAGGCCAGAATGTATAGAAACCATGCATGAAATAACAGCTGTCATGTTCAGCACTATTCATCCAATGTCATTACTCACCATTTTACAGTCTGTGGAGTCACATCCAAAACACCATATATAAAGGAGATGCATATTTCTGGGTCTGCAATGTTTTGAAAATCTAAATTCCATTTTCAAAAGTATGGTTTAGTTGTTGTGTTGAAGTTAAATGTCTAGTATCTCTTTCTGATGGAGTTTTTTTTTTTTTTATTATTTTACTTTTTAATTATTATTATTACAGGCCATCACAATATAAAATGTGATGGAAATTACAAAATGTCACATTTACTACAAAATCAGATGCTTTACCAGCGTGCTAATCTCTTGTGTTAGCTTTAACATTAAATATACACAAAATACAACAACTAAAACATTTTTTTTTATATGAGTAAATTACTAGCCTCTATACCAACATTCCCCATGAAGGGGGTTTAGAGGCCATAAATTACTATCTACAGCAGAACAGCAGCAGCACAAGGCCTCCTGACCAAATCATCTTGGACTTTACTGAGTTTGTTATGAAATATAACTATTTCCGTTTTGAAAAGACATTCTATCTACAAATATCTGGGACAAGCATGGGCACCATTTGTGCCCCTAACTACGGCAATTTGTTTGTTGGTTTTTTTGAAAATAAATTTGTATTCAACAATGAAAAAAATCCATTTGCTCATAAAATTCTAAAATGGCTCAGATATATTGATGATGTGTTTTGTGTTTTCAATGGTACTTCCCAAGAACTGACGGATTTTGTCAAATTACTTAATAGCTTGATACCAAGTTTGATCTTTACTCCACAGTATAGTACTGTACAAGTCAGTTTCTTAGATATGGTAGTGCTTAAATCCAATGGCACCATAATAACATCACTTTACAGGAAGGAGACGGACAGAAACTCTTTGATGTTGGCCTCAAGTTTTCATCCTACCCCTCTTAAAAAGAGTCTACCAATCAGTCAATTTTACAGACTCAGACGGATATGTCACTCTGAGGAGGACTTCATTGAACAGGCCAGAGACATGAAAAACAGGTTCAAACAAAGAGGATATCCCACTACATGGATAGAAAATGCTTATGAACTGGCTTTAAAAAAAACACGAAAAGAATTTCAAAAAAAAAACTGTTAAAAAGAAAAAGCAATTTTCTATCACTTGTATCTCCCAGTATTCTCCCCACTCTGCAACCATCAAAACTATGTTCAGAAAACACTGGCACATACTCACATCGGATCCTGAACTGGCCACTATCTTCAAGTTCCCTCCCCTTTTTGTGAACAGGAGGGGCAAGAACCTTAGAGACCACCTTGTCCGGGCCAGTTTCACCACCCTAGCGCCATCCACCCAGACCCTCCTGACGCCGATTCCTAATGGGAACTATCGTTGTGGTGGTTGTGCCCAGTGCAATAACACTTACAAAACCAGCTTTTTTCTACACCCGCACAGTGGTAAGAGTATACCCATCAAAAGCATTATAACATGTGCATCCACTCATGTCATCTATTTACGGCGTTGTCCTTGTGGTTTGGCCTATGTAGGCAAAACCACAAGAAAATTAAAACAAAGAATAAGTGAACATAAAAGTTCTATCCGCAGGAATGACAGGGAATATCCTGTAGCTGTACATTTTAATGATGCTAATCATGATGTGAGTGCCCTTTGTTTCTATGGGATATATTATGTTCCTCTTCCTGTGAGGGGGGGTAACCATGATAAGCTTCTCAAACAGAGAGAGGCTTTTTGGATACGCAAACCCTCACACCAAAAGGCCTGAACGATGAGCTTGTCTTGAATGTCTTTTTGTAAATAGACTGCCGTGTGTCACATCTTAAGAATACACATTTTAGAATACATGTAGGAATGTATGTATTAGGACAGCCATTTCTTGATAAGCTGTCCTGTATGTCTGCTTCCATATGTTTTTCTTCATGCATCATGTATATATGTATATATTGGTGTTTTCCACTTTTTGATGAGTTTTTGACGTTTTGTGAAAGTTTTTCGGTCATCTGGTATAGTTGATTACATCCAGGGGCGTTGTCAGCCCCTCCCTATTTAAGATGGCTCCCAACCTATATTTGTATATTTTGCCTGAGGAAACGTTGCTAATAAACCACTGGTGTTTGCAAGTTAGACAGTGTGCGGGTGTCATCCTTTTTTCATATGAGTAAATTCAAAAGAAATATAACATGTTCTTTCTTGAATTTGTGCAGTAAGATGGAAATGATGCTGAACCTCAGGGAGTAAATTAATAATTTTCAGTGTAATATGTGTGTTGTAATACAAAGTTTAGCACCTGAATAACATGTTATGATGGATTGAAAATGTAAACTGGACTCAGGGACAAGGCTGCTCAAATACAAAACCATTATTCAAAACCATTTTTTATAAATCAAATATATAATTTACTTCTGAACATTTGTCTCCCAGCTCATCTTGCGGCTTTGCTTTTTCTTCATAATCAGTCCAGATCACCGAAAAATAGTTTACCTGTGTCTGTTAATAACCCTATATAAAATCAATTTACATTCCAAAAACACAATTACCCTCTTATATAACACTATTACACCCTTATTACATTTTTATTACAACTTTTTACACTTTTATTGCGACATCATTACACTTTATTACACCCTTAATACACTATGTCACCCCTTTTAATATCCTAATTCTATAAACGATTTTAAAAAGGTATTTTGGCAATTGCTTTGACGTATAGGCAAGGCAAGGCAAGTTTATTCATATAGCACAATTCATACACAAGGCAATTCAAAGTGCTGAACAAAATAAGAAAGCCTTAAAATCATAAATAATCACAGAACACTAAAAAGAAAGGATAAAAATATAAAATCCCTCAGTTGTATGCACAGCTAAACAGAACTGTCTTTAACCTGGTTTTAAACATTGTCATTGAGGAGGCCTGTCTCAGCGATGCAAGTGGTTCATCCATGTATCATCTCCAGAAACAAACTCATACTTGTCCTGAAGATCCGTGTCCTGCTTGTATCCAAGGAAAACAAGCTTCTGTTGATTTTAATCTTCCACAGTTTGACATAAAACGGGAAGTATTGGAACTTATTATTTCTAACTAATCATGTCATTGCACGTGCACTGCCACAGAAATCAAGCAATACATTGTAACTTGATTATCTCTTCATCTACACAAAGCAAACACGACTACACTCTGTGGAATGTCACCAGGAAGAGATGTAGTGATTTTACTGTCTCCAACATGCAACTCTCAATACAACCACACTTAGTAAAACATGCTATGCCAGCTCAGGCGTGCAGACCAGGATAAGAACCGGTTTGCCAGATACAATTTATTTCATTTATTTATTTTCATCCTAAGTAAGTAAGTAATCTTTATTTATATACCGCCTTTCACAGACCAGCGTCACAAAGCGGTTTACAATTGTTTTTTTTTGTTTTTTTTTGGGGCATTTGTTCTCACTCCACACAGACATGGGAGCGGGGTCCCAAATAACAACACTTAACATGAACTATACAATAAAAATGGAATAAACCATTTGTGACACAAGTAATCTGTTTGTTTACTCAAATCTTGAATTCATAAACTCAAGATTTGTATAAAAGATGTGCTGCTGCTGTTGTCACTAGTAATTCCTTATTACACGTCAGGAGAAAACAGTTTATGAAAATAGGAAATAGGCTTTTTTAAAACTTGGATTATAACGATCATCTTATTGCACAATTCTGTTTTATGTGTGTCTCACAAAGAAAAGACCATTGGAGATGTGTTTGTGTAGATACAATGTGAAAACCAGAGAGGCGGTAACTCCATGGCAGTTTATTATTACCCGTTATTTTACCCCACAATTACTACCTTATTTTTCAGAATCTAGTTTCCTTGTCCCGAAAATGACGACACCTTCACGCGCAATTCACACACGCACCCAGTCCCCCGCCCCGGTCCCTCCCAGAGACTGTCGCTCGTCGTGGTCCAGCCCTGGTCCAGCCCCGGTCCAGCCCCGGTCCCTCCCATGAAGACTCCCAAAGAGACGAGATCCGCGCAGCATGTGACCACCGCATACGCTCTTCTCTTTAGCTCCAGGACAGACGTTCAGACCGAGAGAGAGGCCGCACACTCCCGGAGAACCGCTCACCGATCACGGCTGCTTTTGGCACATGTCTGCGTCCGCGCTACTCTTTTTCTCCGGAGTTTGTCTGTCATCGTAAACTTTTCTTATAGACGTCAGAAGTGGATCATCCTCAAAATTGATATTCCTACTGAAAAGTGAGTTTTCTACTGATTTCTTGTAGTTTGTCGCTTCAATGATAGAACGTTGTGTCAGTTTGTGCCAGAGGAGAGACACGCACTGTGGCTTCTCAGGACAACGATGCTGTCGCTTAAAACTGCAACTTTTTTCTGGTGGAGGGTTCGCTGTTTGCCTCCAATGTTGTTTTGCCTGGAATGTTTCTCTGTATCGACTTATTCAATTCTTATGCCTTTGAGACAAGTGTTATATTAATATTCTCACTCTGGACCCAGTGCAATAAACTGATGGTGATGCTGATATCTGCGGAGATGAGAGCCGACCTAATGTTCAAATTATGGATGACATGACCCTATTCATCTGTAAATAACACCAGAAAACACAAGCTCAGACGTGTAATACAAGAATACACGCTTTCTTTTTTATGTATGAGGGAAAATCTAAGCAAAAAAAATAACACCTCCATCCATGGCAACTTGCGCACTCCATCAGAAAAGTTGCGCACTGAGCCTTTAAACATGGTTTTATTGTGTTTTCACTCTAGACGAGATCTGGTCTGATAGCACCTCAGTTGGCAGATAATGAAATATGGAACTGATGTAATCCTATAGTGAGCTATATAAGGCAACACATGGCTGTTTATGACATGTATGGATTTCACTGGACATGGAGGGATAGACTGTAAAATGTGGAAGACTGACAATCGCCCCCCACAGACCGCAATGCTTGTTTTTATGCCGATAATAGTCATGCTTGTAAAGTATAATTACAGATTATAATCGTGGTCTTATGTAAGTGTAAGACTACTTTGAGAACTTGCTAAACTTTGTCTCATCATCCGAGTGCGATAACCCCTAACTTAGAAACCAAATACATCTTTCCTTTAGTATCATTACTTCTGATTTTGTTTTATTTTAGATGATATATGCTTTGAAACCTTAGTAATTGTGTAAAGAATCGGATCGTTAGTTGGGATACACTAGCCTAGAGTGATATCAGTATGTGAAAGTCTATTTGTCTATTCTTGCAAATGATTTGTTGTTTGACTTTACTTTTCTTTCCCTTTAACTCTAAAGTCTGAGTATTTTCATGCCTGATAAAAGTATCAACTGTCCTCTTTGTGTTGAGACTTCAAACTTTCCTCATGTCCCATTGGTCCCTATCAGCTCAGCAGCGATGGAGAGGCTGGATGTGTCTGTGTGACAGCTGTTGCGTCCTGAGACTATCCAGAACTCTTCGCACCTGATCTCTCCCTCCTCACATCCTCCACCATCCACATGTCTTTTCTTTCTCTCCTCTCGTCGCCTGTCTCTCCCCTGCTTCCTGTGCTTTGTTTCAAGGCTGAGGCTTGCGTCACACATTCCACTTGGCATATGAAGCCCTTATCCTGTTTAGAGGTTGCAGCAGCAGCAGCAGCAGTGAACGGGGCAAGTACTGAGGGGAGGAGAGAGGAGGGGATGTGTGTGGACGTGGGGGGTGGATGCCAGGAATGGAGGGCTTTCTTTTTCTCCGATACTTTTACTGTAATAAAAAACAAGGGTCTGGTGAATGATCTTAGCGCTTGTGAATGCGTGTAGATCTCTCAAAGACACACACCTTTTCCAGCTCTTTGCCTGAATCAACAGACTGATGTTATCTGCTGGAACAAAATGCACGGCGTGTATACTCATTCACACACAGCTCAAAGGGCACGTCGAAGGGAACATTAGGGCTAAATATTAATCTCCTGGATGCTGCTGTGTTGTTTGATGAGTCTTTGTTTGGGATACCCACCACAAACTAGGACCAGAGCCGACAATACTCTCAAAACTATATGTTTCTTACCTGAAGGATTGTGAAAAAGGTATAAAACTTATGAATGGAGAGTTTGATCTGGCTTGAATTTCAAAGTACCATACATACAAATAGCCAGGTTTCTCCATGGCTTCTGATTTGTGCAATTTTCTCATAAAAATTCTTGTATTTTAGTCAACCACAGCATTTTTTGGTTGGCTGATAAAATCACAGACAGATTAAGCGAGTCATAAATCATAGAACCATTTATTTTTATAATCACTGCTGGGTTTATCAATGCTGTTGCCCCCACCCCTAGTTTGAGGTTCATTGAAGTTTTGTCATAGTTTGGTCAAAACCCACTTGGTTTTTCTTCCCGTTTCTCTGTCTGTCTTGTTCTTTCCACTTCCATTTTGACATAGTTTGGTCAGAGAGGGGGCTGTTTTTTTCACCTCTCTCATTCTTTGGCACGGGGAGGTGTAGTGTACAGAGAGAGAATGGCAGAAAAGGAGAAAAAGAGAGAAAGCAGGGGGGGTATTGGGGTCGGACAGGAAACCACAGGCCCCCCGCAGCAGCACCCCTCGCTTGGCTCCGCTCGTCACTCCTCCTCCTTCCCCTTCTTTTACACCCCCCGACCCATCACGCAGTGTGGAAATAATAACACTCAAGACTCCAACTCCAAGGGCTTCCGCTGCACTCTCTCCCCTTCTCCTGTTCTCCCAAACGCAGTCTGGAAAATCTCAACGCTCTCCGGCCTCTTCCTAAGCCTGTTATATGTGTGTACTTGTCACTTTTAGAAGCCTTTATGTCAACCCCAAGACAAGACTGTACCCGCGTTTAAGTATGATGATAGATCCTGCTTCCTCTCCCCCCCCGGATGGCCCCCACTGAGGTCATATGCTTTGTACTGTATGCATGTGTGTTGGGGAGGAGTGGACTTGTTTGGAGCTTTGGGGAATTCAAAGGGGCTCAAACAGGGCTCGTAAGTAAAAAGTGAGAGAATAGGTTCAAAGTTTGGGTTTATGTCAGGGCAGAGGACACATTTTTAAGCGTAGGAAATGAGCTAAGGCTGAGGGGAAGTGTTCAATTGGGGCAGTCAATTTGGGGTTATAAGCACTGTTAGTCACGCAATTGAAATTTCAGGGAATGACCTATTGCTGGCCATTGTAAAGTGCAAGTTTGGAAACAATATAAAGTGTGTGCGTTCTATCTTGTTCTTGGACAAAGCCGTTGTCTGGAGGATTCGACTCTCTCTGGTGATCTCATCATCTCCAGCCCCTTCTCTCTCTCTCTCTCTCTCTGTGTGCATGTTCTTCCTTCTGTGATTTAGGACATATATTCTGTTGAGCTAGCAGAAACTTTTGCATGTGCGTGTGATTAGTCGGTAGCCAGAATTGACTCCAAGCCACAACATTCTCCCCCCCTTCACTGGTTTTTGCTTTATATGATCTATTCTGCACAGACAAGGCCCCGTGTTGCAAAGACACAGCCACATCCACATGAGTGAAAGCCACAGCTGAGAGAAAGAGGTGGGGATGAAGACGATTTGGAGGATGGAGAGGGCCGTATTTGCTGAGTGGGTTGGGGTTGAGCACACAGGAGCTCCTCTGACCGAGAAGGACAATATTTGCAGACTACACTTGACATGCATAAATACACACCCACATGGAGAGGGCAAGAGGAGCTACTTATTTACTAAAAACAAAAGTGCGTTCTGGATTGGACCAGCTCTATAACTCTCCGGTTGAATTTGTATGTTAAGATTGATTACTATTTGATATTTGATCATTATTGAGGGTCCCCATAGGTTTCAAGCAATCCAGCTACTTTTGGTTGAAATTGTTTGGATTTTGTTGTATTTTGTTTGGTTGGTTGTATTTTAGTGGTGAGATATTAGTCAATTCCGATACTAGAAATAATTTTTGATCTCACAGTGATATTACTCATTAAGAGTTGTTTTTTATTCAAGCATTTTCAAAAAAACAAATGTAAAAAGTACACACAGACATCAACACACACAGGTCCACGGCAGAAATCAAAATAAAATATGTCCTGTAATTTCTTGACTCAAAATAGTACAGTATTACTTTGTATGGGTCTTCAGATTTAGTTAAAAAGAAATTATGACAATCTATATTTGCCCTGATTATCTATTGTATTTAGTATCTATATTTGAATTAGTGTCTAGCTTTGGCACTAGTTTTACCATTGATTCATTTATTTTATGTGACAACCCTATGAGATGGACCTGCAATATAAGTACGACAAAAGCAGAAATTCTCCTTCTTTCTATTTAAATGCAAAAGTGTCCGGATCTGGTCATAAAGTAGAGGACGTGCAACAACCATCTTATTGAGTTCACATTAAGATTACTCACTCATCTCCTCATAAATGTTTTTACTGAATGAACAAAATATTAAACGAATTTCAATATACTGCTTCACATGTTGACACTGTTGAAATCAGTGTTTTCTGTGTGTGTTTTCCCATTACTCATGTGGTGCCCGTAAGCTGCATGTTTGTTCTTACTCACTGGACCATGCTTCTCTCTGGTTGGATCATCTGCAGGGTTTGGTTCTGACCCAAATGTCTTTGTGGAACTGATTGGTCACTGGCCAGGCTCAAAAATAGCATTAAGCTGTGTTGAACAACAATAATAATTTGGAGATGGCAAAGGGGTCAAGAGTTGTCCTGTTTGGGCTCACTGCATGAATCCATTGACTCTTCCTGTTATCAGTGTTGATAAAAGAAGGTTTCCAGCCATAAAAACTCAGACATGTTTGTTCTTAAAATGCAAAGCTTCTCAAGGGAAATTATTCTTTGATTTATTTCTGTGGATTCCACTTTTAGGATGTTTTCCTGGACATGATAAGTTCCCTGTCACAATGAGAACGTCATTAGGCCTGTGATAGAACGCAGTATGAGGTTTCAGAACGCTGATGTTTGTCCGGACGATATCATTATCAGTACATTGCTCTTTATAATCTGTATACTCACTCAAGTTTTTGATCTTACTGTTTTCATTTTATTTGATAGCATGTATGATTGTGAACAACTCAATAGATGCACCATTACTTAAAGCTGGGGTACCTAACTTTGTAATAAAATCCGTACAACTATAGTTCCTTGCTCTAAAACAGTTTGGTTCAATCCCTAAGCATGTGTTTTTGGTCTGTTAGATTTTTAGCTTAATCCTAACCTTGATTCAGTCTTGTGCTTGAACTCCAGCTAACTAAACAACAACAGTGACAGCACATGCTCAAGTCCTTATGCAAACAGTAGGAGAATATGCATCGATTTGTCTTTCTCAACACATTATCAACACATTACTTTCAGCGTTTTGTTTATTTAAGTTTTGTTTGTGCTTTGTATGTGTTTCCACCACACCTACTGATCATAATCCTGAATGCCAAATACAGCGGCGATGATGATGACGTCACACATTTAACATTACTGCCTCGTTTGTGAACAAGAGCAGGGGTGTCAGCATGTGTAGTGGCCCTCAAAATGATTTTCTTTCCTCCTCCTCCTTCTTCTTCTTCTTCTTCTAACCTTAACCCTCGGAAAGATTTTACAACGGGCTACCAGGGCATTTTGTACATAATTTTTTTAAGATAGTGTTTGCAAAGAAAACAATCATTTAATTTAAAAGAATATAACCAGAAACGTAATTAGTGATATATATTTAAATGAAAATAGAAAATCAGCTCTTATCATTGATTCAGTTTAGGATCAACTCAATCATAAAGTAAGTAATTTTGGTCCAAACATTTTACAGGAAAAGAATATCCAAGTGTAATGATGATAATGATAATACTAATAAAGAAACACAGAGGCAAAAAGACGAAAGCGAAAACGATGGATTTATAAAGTATTGCCCCTGACGATATTACATTCAGCCCACTGACCAACATGAGATTGACACTTTGGTGTTAGATATACTTTGCAAAACCATTTAAACTATATTTGATCAATATTATAATGTTTTCTATTTGAGAATAACATTGTTTTGTCTTTGAGTTAAGACTAAGGTCGTGAGATGAAGATCAAACAATCAAACAATTACTTATAATAACCACCTTTAGACAAACTATATAGGGCTCATGTACTGTATGTTGTACTGATAGAGCAGCATTGTGACATGTTTGCTTGCCACAAATTCCATAAGAAAGTTCTCTCAGATTCTCATTGGATTCGATTGAAACCATGTTGCATGAATACTAGTAATTTACAGAAAAGATTGAAATGAGTTGAAACGGGGAAAGACATCTAAATATGGTCTCTAGTTTATATTGTATGTTATCTTTTTGGCTGGGTTTTGTTTTGCTGGATGATACGTGGTTCATGGCTTTGTGCATTGTCCTTGTTAGGAAATTTGCGAAGTCTGAGTCAAATAAGTGTGTCAGGGCCCAGTTCTCAATAGCACTTTCGTGTTTAAATAACATTGGGTTCACAAAAGGTTTAGGGAGTTCCACAATGACTTCTGCTGCAACTTTTTGAGACATGACTTGTATTTGTATTTCGTAATGTGTGAGCTCCCCATACCTGCGTGGTACAATTGAATAACTGCTTGACCTCTAACTGAACTGCAGCACAATGCAAACCCAGATTAGAAGAAAACACACCCTTATAATCTTCCGTACACACTATTCTCACCCAACGGCTTCTTCTTTTTTGTTTGGTGGCTAGTAGGGTGGGGCTGATGCCAGGATCACGCCCTTCCTTGATCCTCCTCTCCACTGCTCCATTGGCTGGTGCCGTATCTGCACCAAACTGTGTGTTCCTGCTCATTTGTTAATAATTAAAGGCTCAGAGCAGTGCGGACTTTAATCAGGCCTCTCACACACATGCGCGCTCTCCCTCGGGGTACATTCTTCTGTTCATCTCGCCTCAATGGTCTGTTGAACACACACATAATCACACTCGTACACAAAACACAGCCGTCGCAGCTCCACCTGGCCACAAGCGGCGAACTGGGATCAACAACAGGCACACATCTGTCTCAAGCCTTCTCTTCCTAAATGAGATTTCAGCCATATTTGGAGCTGGAGAATTTGCATGTCACACTTGAAGAATGGAGCTTTCTACATGTTACAGTGCTGTTTGCATGTTACAGAGGCTATTATTAAGAGTGTTCCTATGTGCTTTCAAAGAAATTGTCACTCCTTTGTGGTTAAAGATGAATGACAGATTGACAGGTTCAGGCACACAGAAGGAGGAACAGCTTTGTAAAGTAAACAGTCACATTTTTACAGCACAATTTGTCATTTAATGGTGGATGGGTCACTAAATAACTTCTCTTGTATGCTATAATATTGTACATTGATTAAAGTTACTCCTTATGTGGAATGTGTTGTTTAGAAAAAATAAAGATTGAGCCCACAAATTGTAAATAGAAATGCATTTGTAAATGCCTATTGAAATTGTAATCATACAACACATGGTGAAACTAGGGCAAATACTGCTGCTTGATTCTATATTTATGAATATATATTTGTATGTGTGGGTATGTACTGTAAGCACAGTAGGCAACATGTACAGAAGGTCATGTGAACTAAGGAATGTAAATATTATAAATAATTATGAATGTAACATTTCTCCTTCAATGAATAAAATCAGTCAAAAAAAGTCCACATTCATGATAGTAATGGCCTCTTTTGTGTTTGCTTTGCAGGATCTGGGGCTGTGCAGCCATGCTGATGTATGATTATCCCTTGAAAGCAGACATGGAGACGGTAAGGCACGTGTGTTGCTGAAAGTGCAGCTTCAGTGTGTCATGTGTGTTGTAATCATGCCCGGACAGGTTTTAGAAGACACACTCCTGACCCTCATGAACTCACTCCTCCGCATCAGTTACTGTACGTGTCTAGACAGACAGGTTCCCACATACGGCCTCTTCCTGGACCAACAACCTGCATTTGCATACAATGGGCAGTGGGCACTGTACAAACTCATGTCCTGCACTCAAATCCTGCATATTTGGTTAACAGAAACGGACAGAAGAAAGGGCCGTTATAACTGTTTTCATCGTATTTAATGATCTACTGTTTCTCTATATGAAAATACATCTTTAACTCAAAATAGAATGCTCCTATTAGTGATAAGTGCAATGCAATGAGTCCAAACCATCATAATACATTATTGAAGATATTTTGAGTTTATCCCAATTGAAGCAGTGAGCATCTTTTCAAATGTCTAATGTGTTGCTTCTGACAGGTAACATGTTAATTTTTTCTTTCATGGGAGTTGATAACTCATGACTCATCAAAGAGTAAAAATCTGTATTTTTTACTCTTTGATATTTTCTGTACACTGAAGAGTCAAATCCTAACCATATATATAACTCTTATTATATATATTATACATGTTTTGGTCAATTGGTGTGAAAGTTTGTTTCTGTGTGTTTACGTTTCTCTGTAACTTGTTGGCTGAGACGATCCTTCTTTGTTTTCTTTCCCAAAGTGGATATTTCTAACGATGCGCTTCCTTCCCCTCTCTCTGTCTCACCCGCAGTCGTTCTACTCGCCATATCCAGAGGCGTACAGAGTGATCCTTCCCCCGTCCCACCTCTACCCCTCGGCCCTGTCCTTCCCCTCTCACTGCCCCCTCAGCGCCACCCAGCTGGAGCCAGTCGACCTGTCCCTCACCAAGCGCTCCTCCACCTCCTCCTCCACCACCTCCCTGTCCCCGCCCTGCTCCTCCTCCCCCGTGTCCACCCGCAGTTCTCCCTCCCCCCGTTGTTCGCCCATGCGCTCCTCGCCGCCACACCTGCCCCCGCCCGCGCTGTCCTACTCCGCCATGGTGGGTCCTCTCCTGGGGGGCGGGCCAGGTGTGATGGTATCTCCGGTCATGCTGCCGCTGTCTGTCCTGTTGCCCCCTCCCCTGCACCTGCACCACTCTCTCTTGGTGAGCCCGCCCCTGGCCACGGAGGAGCAAACAGGTGAGCCGTTTGTGTGCGGGTTAGTCCAAAAGTAGGAGTTTGACGTTTCCTTTCAATTACATGATTCAATCTGAGATACCTAACATTGAAACCTCAACGTTGAGAGTAGAGTAAAGAAGTAGTCCTTACTCTCAAAACAGTTAACTGGTTTTCACATACAGTATATGTATGACTGATACTTTTAGAACTTTCTGTCTGCTTTTTCAGACAGAAAGGTGAGAGTGAACAGAGAGGACCACCCTCACTCAACCAATCAGTTCTTATTGGTTTAGTTTAATTATGTTGTTCTCAGCCCAAAATAGTCATAAAGTGACTCATAGGGCTCTTTCATGCTGTTGGGACAAACAACATGGATTACTTATGAAGCAAAGTTTGGCATCCCATCTTTAAAAATCATCAGTTTTAAAAGATGTTTTTCCTTATAAAACAACTTTGAATAATAAAATCGATAGTATCTAACAAGTTCCCCGCTCTCAAAACAGTTTCTATCACTAGTTTTCTCATGGATTTATCTTCAATCCTCCAACATATCTTAGAATCAGCTTTTTTAAGACAAAAAAGTTAAAGAAGAGAGGCCTGCCCTCATTCAACCAATCAGCTCTCAGCCGTAAGTGTCAATAAGTGACTCACACGGCTCTGTCTTTCAAGCCTGTCTAGACTCGTTCTGTTGGGACATGGATTATGTATTAAACTTAAAAATAGGTACCCCAGCTTTAATAACCGGACATGCAAATGTAAGGGTTAGATTGAAGGAATTTGTTGCTGCCTGGTCCTCTTCCTTATAAACAGTTTCATGATCTAATTCCCTTTTTTAAAAACAAAATCAGGAAGTTTGTTTTATATTGTGTGCACTCGGAACCGCTTGCTTCCGGGGTCACACAGGCCACTGCGTGGATTGCTGCTCAAGCTAAAACAAAAGTGCTAAGTTTCAAAAATAAGTTGACAATAGTGAAGGCAAATATGCAGATATTGTACAGAGCTTTACATTATTGCAGTAGTCTGGATAGAGAATTGCTATTTTTATTCAACAGAGGCGACTGAATCAATTTATTCACATGTTTTATGTTTTCACTCTTGAGCAACAGCGGCTGTCACGTTGTAATATAACAATTGTGTCTATTTGCAGTTGAAGATGAAAAGTAATTATAGATGCAGTGAAGTAAAAGTTCACTGCATAAAGTAATAAAATATACGGTAGTCTACAGTACGGTAGTTGTTATCTGACACATTTTGAGTGTCTGGGTTTCATTGTGCTCCAGTTCAGCTGGAGGTCAAGCACGGGACAGGCAAACAGTTCTTTTATCTCTGCTGGTTCCAATGTTTTCTCATTGCAACCAGCAATATAAGTGAAAATTAGCTTTTTTCACATTTTAAAACAGCATGGACTGAATAAAGTCAAAAAATAGATTTTTACTTATTTTTGTCATTTGTTGCAGCATATTCCTTGTGTATATTGTAATATTCCACTGCTGGGAAAAAGTAATTGTCATTTATTACCACATACACCAGGGGTGTCCAATAAAAGTGGTTTACTTTTATTATCATTATTATTATTTTTACATATTTTTGTATTTTGACAAATTAATTTTATTTGACATTTGGTTTGGATAAGTTTGTGTAAGCCCTCAGTCGTACAGGGATTAGTCAAAGCAAAGGAAGGTTTCTCACCCATCATCTGTACTTCTTAGCAAGTTTTCCCAACGTTTCGTCCTCAACCTGGGGACTTCTTCAGGGAATGAATTCTCGGACCGCGCGTTGGAGATTTATAACCTATGGGTGTGGTAAGCCACACCCTAACCCTGATACTAACTCGTAAACAATCTCAGGTCTGCTTGATGTAGAAGGGAGCAGGTCTAACGACCCTGCTGAGGCTAACGACCCTAACTCCTTAGCATGTCACAGACCTATTGTCTGCTGGGATGCTCAAGTGGAGTGCAGGTCTCACCCCTCCTAACTCATTAGCATGTCACTGACCTTGTCCCAAGTTAGGGCGTTGTTTTTAGGATGTCGTCATAGATGCGAGGCAAAACAAATCTTAACCCTCCTCCTCTGTTAAGAGAAGGTTTCTGTTTCCTCACAAAAATAGCTTCTTTCACCCCTCTCTCAAACCAATTCTTCTCCCGAGCCAGAATTTTAACCTCTGTATCATCCACCGTGTGGTTGGAGGCCTTGAGGTGGAGATGAACAGCCGACTGTGGCCCACTAGAGTTTTCTCTACGATGTTGGTAAAGTATTGGAGAAACCAAACAAACTCTACAGAAACGACTTTACCAACATCGTAGAGAAAACTCTAGTGGGCCACAGTCGGCTGTTCATCTCCACCTCAAGGCCTCCAACCACACAGTGGATGACACAGAGGTTAAAATTCTGGCTCGGGAGAAGAATTGGTTTGAGAGAGGGGTGAAAGAAGCTATTTTTGTGAGGAAACAGAAACCTTCTCTTAACAGAGGAGGAGGGTTAAGATTTGTTTTGCCTCGCATCTATGACGACATCCTAAAAACAACGCCCTAACTTGGGACAAGGTCAGTGACATGCTAATGAGTTAGGAGGGGTGAAACCTGCACTCCACTTGAGCATCCCAGCAGACAATAGGTCTGTGACATGCTAATGAGTTAGGGTCGTTAGCCTCAGCAGGGTCGTTAGACCTGCTCCCTTCTACTTCAAGCAGACCTTAGATTGTTTACGAGTTAGTATCAGGGTTAGGGTGTGGCTTACCACACCCATAGGTTATAAATCTCCAACGCGCGGTCCGAGAATTCATTCCCTGAAGAAGTCCCCAGGTTGAGGACGAAACGTTGGGAAAACTTGCTAAGAAGTACAGATGATGGGTGAGAAACCTTCCTTTGATTTGGTTTGGATATTATTTTCTAGTATTTTTGGATTCAATCACAACTAGGCCAAATCTAAAAGATGTAATGTGAAGATACATAGTTAAACATTTCAGTTCAGTTAGTTTGCTGAGAAAATAAGCTTTAAAATGAAGTATAACATGCCTTGGTATCCCATTACCATCAATGCTGCAAGTTACTGTAATAACAGTAATAATATTATATAATATATAATAATAATAGTAATAATTGAAAATCATTTCAGGGGTCAATAAAGATGGTCTCGCGGGCCGGATTTGGCCCATTGGCCTGAGTTTGACATGCCGGACATACACAATTAAATACTATCTTCATTTGTTGGGATTATATAGGATATAGTAAACAGTTGCAAAGTGAAATACAACATTACCTCACACAACAACAAAATAAAATCTGAAATGATGAGAATTTGATAATGCAGTGGAATGACCCTTTGCTGTTTCACTGACCATTTCATTTATACGACTTTTTCAGCACATTTTAAGAAGCCCTTGGAGCTGCGAGGAGACACCTCAGACTTACACAAGCCCATCAAAACGGAGCCTCGCCCAGAGATAAGCCATGACCCGATCAGCGTCCATGACAAGAAACCACCGTCCCTCCGGATACCGCAGGAGTATGAGTGAGTGTTCCACCACTTTCACTATGTTTAAGAACACGTTTCATCATTAGTGTGTTGCTGAACTCCATGGTGCGTGCTTACCATCAACACAAGGAAGTAAGTAAGTTATTTTCGTGGAAACGTGTGTGGGCTGTTGAAGTGCGGGGTGTGTCTGATTCTTTCATTCCACTGAAGTGTCTTTTAGCTGTGATCCCTGAGCCGTCCATTAACTCGTCAGAGATTCAACATTTTTGCTGTTATTAGAGCAGTTAGATTAAGATTTCATTTATTCTTCCCACAGTGGGGAAATTTCAGTGTTGCGTCATCGGTTACAGAACAGTAGGAATGAGTCGCATACAGCATTGGAGATAAATTAATAATAACTCTATACTAAAGAAAATAAAATACAAATCTCTTTCTCTATTGTGTAGAAGAAACAGTTATAAAATTTCTATCTTTAGCATGATGAGTACAAACATCTCTGGCTTTAGCATAAAAGCAGAGTTGTCACAAATTTTGCTTCTTTTTTTAAAAACTATTCTTAATGAAATGCATTTTTGAACAATTTGCGATAATACAATACAACTACAAAGCTTACACTTAGTTTGTTCCCTGTAGCCCTTTCCTCACACCTGACACGGTACATAAGACCTTTTTAGACAAACCTCATTTGATCTTTCTGAAAATGTAGTCACAGATTGATTCCTCCCAGTCAAATAATACTTTTTTAGGTCATCACTATTTTACATAAAACACATGCGCTGTAAATAAAAAGTGTTGCGTAAATGCGGTTTGCAATAAGGGCACATTGTTTGTGGTTGGGTTGCATCCCCCCACTCTCGACATCCACCTGGTCCAGCCTCTCCTCCTTGCCCCTTCTTCCCTTTTGTGCTCCAGGCCTGAGGCTATAACAGTCATTCCTATAGAAGAAATAATTGCATGTTATGTTAAACATGTAATAGTCCGAGAATGTTGCCTGTGTGTGCATTGTGTAGTGTGCGCCATCACAAGCTGTAGCGGTTGTCAGCCTGCCAACTCTTAAAATAATTGGGCCCTTCAGTAGGGGTGGGTGTGTCCGGAGATGTCATCACCTCTCTCTCTCTCAAAACACGCTCACACTTCAACATCGTACATACTGCTCGCTCTCTATATGATGAATAGGTGACCGTGAATCTGCCGGTAAAGTAACGGCAGGACATGAGCAGTGTGTGCTGTGTGGTTGGGGAAATTCTACACATTCCTTTAACGCAAAGTTTATCTCCGACGGATTCATATTTCAACACTCGACACCTGCTCTCAACTGCCACTTACTCACGCCCCGACACTGGCTGTAATGATAGTGTGGACTGACTATTTATTTTTGTTTGTTTTGACACTTTTTAAGTCTCTCTTGTAGATGCTTTACTGCTTTGTAGCTCCTATTATGAAGTACCAGGGGTTAATGTCCAAAGCTTCAAAAAGATTACTCTTTAAACTTGGCTGTTATATATCATCAACTGAACAACTGGAAAATATGGAAGCAGTCTCTGTACTGCTGCAGTGAGAATCTATAACAAAGTAAAGAATCTATTCAATTCTTTTTTTTTTTTTTTTTTTTTTTTTTATTATATTTTATTGCAGACAAACACATATACAGAAAAAAAAAAATAGAAACAAAGAAAAGGACTAGTTCAGATACATTGTAGACAGAGATTACAAACAATATGTAGTTGGAGATACAGGGGGCCAAAAAAGAAACCCAGAAGGGCACATAGGAGGGGGGGGGGGGAACTATACTATGATGTTTACAGTCTATGGTCTATACCCACACATACACACACACACCCACACACACACACACCCACACCCATAAACACACACACTCCACACACACACACACATACAATCTATTAAATTCAATTAAATTCAATGTATTCATAAATCACAACAGTAGTTATCTTTAAGGACTTAACAGAACTGCTGAATTTGCCAACACAGATCTGAGAATCAACAGTTCAACACAAGAAATGCAACAATAAAAACACATAAAGACATTGGTCCGTAAGGGGCAGATGACCAAAGTCCATAAAGTATGATAAATGTCCATAAATATTGTTGAATGTTGAGTTGAGTGTCCTGGATCATCACCACTCTCCTATTAGTTGGACCCTTTAACAGTTTAACAGACCGTCCTGCGTCGGCAAAGAAAAACTCTTGGATCTCTTGAGTATGTTTGTGAAGGTATGCTAATTGTTCTCCTTGTTCCTGTTGCAGGGGGAACAGCCAATCTGTAATAGTCCATTCTCGCACACAACATCCCTTTCCACCCGATTCGCCGGATTCACTCAAGAAGCGACGCATTCACCGCTGTGACTTCTCAGGCTGTGATAAGATCTACACCAAAAGCTCCCATCTCAAAGCCCATCGCAGAACCCACACAGGTACAGCCATTACTCATCAGATCATTATTTGCCTATTGAAATGTTTGTTCATACTTTATAACAGAGGTGAATTCTTGCTTTGCTTGCAGGAGAAAAGCCATACAAGTGCATGTGGGAGGGCTGCACGTGGAAATTTGCCCGGTCTGATGAGCTCACAAGGCATTTCCGAAAACACACAGGAGTCAAACCTTTCCAATGTCCGGACTGTGAACGCAGCTTCTCCCGGTCTGACCACTTAGCGTTGCACAAGAAGCGGCACCTGTCGTTGTGAGAGGTTCTCCTGTTGGACTGCAGCTTTTTGGGATGGGGTCAACTATGGGAGTGCCCTACATGCACAGGTGTTCCTCAGGGTTTCGCCTCAGCCAATACCATATAATGCCTTAATCTACAGATGTTATTCCCAGTCTAAGGAGAGGGCATTTTGCAGGGGTGATAGTGTCTCAGCTGGTTTGAAGGTGCTTCCCCCTTGTGGCCACAGAACCAAAGTGCACATTTAAACTCAACAGATCAGTGTGCCAAAGCTCACCATGGTTCCATTTCTGAAATTAATGTTCATGCACACACAAGCACAGTACAATTTGCTAGACGATTATAATGTGAAACTTCAGGAAGCTTATCAAAATAAGGGTTGCTGTTTATCTTTGCTAATTTTGTTGTTAACGCCCTCCACACACCTCATCTGCCTCTAAATGTACAACATGAAGTAACTTTAGAAGACAGGGAGCCACAATCACTTCCCATCGCCTGCACTTATTAAAACCGGTCGCCTTGTCTTTGTTCCTGTGTGTTAGAAAGGGGGTTTCTTCGTCTTATTTGAAGTGGTTGTATTTGTTTTTGTCTCTCTTTATTCTTTTGTTTTTCACAAATGTGAAATTTTGGGGTAAAGTGCACAAGGGCATTAGTATCAGACATGTATTACTGAGGAAAGATACCACTTGGTTGGAGCAATGGAAGAAGCTGGGATATTTCTTATGTAACATTATGCACCATGTTTATTGATATTAATTTGTGTTTGTGGCGTTTTAGAAGTGAGTGGGAAACAAGAAAAGTTGGTCTTAAGTACTTATTATTTAAATGTTGCAAATTTCCGTATGATTCTAGTAGTCTTCTCCCACACAGTTCTGTCTGGCTATAGATTTACTGTCTCTGCCAATATAGTATTCATGGGTTTCAGCATGTTGGAGGACCCTTCTCCTAATCAAGAGATAAATGAGATCACTCTGTTTTCACAGCTTCTGGAAGTCAATATATATGTATGTAGTGCTTCTTTGTACATGACTCCAATGTGCACTTTATATTCACCAACATTCCTAAAATATATCTGTGAATTTCCAATCTGCTGGTCAGTATGATCAGAAACATGTATGGTGTCATCGGTCCCATTCAGTGTAATACTGTGTTGACACCTTGAATCACTTACCATGTGCATGCACACAGAATGTATTGGCACAGATGATCTGTATCTTTCCTGAAATACCTTTGCTTGTGTATGTTTTGTATCTCTGCAAATACAAGTTTGTAATATATACATCATATTTTATATATATATATATATATATATATATATATATATATATGATTATTAGACTGAACGGGCTATTAAAGGTTTTTACTCGGCATGGTTTTGATATCCATATAATAATAATAACAACTAATAAGTATACATTTCTACTTGTATATTTTAATCTATGTTGGAAATAGAAGGGAACATGTTAAACTGTGAACATATACTGTGCAGGTCTATCTGCAAGTTTGCATTTATTTTATATATTAAATGCCACTCAAATACAAAAATAAAATATTATTTTACAAAAGCCTTTACGCCTCTATAGTACATATTTAAATGAAGTTGGACAAAATATTTGTGAGGCCCAATGAAAAGGTATGTTTTAAAACAGTAAAAAGAATGGGCTCGTCCGGGATTTGAACCCGGGACCTCTCGCACCCTAAGCGAGAATCATACCCCTAGACCAACGAGCCAGTCATACTCAAACAGGTACCACATAGAGTTCACAAATGCATTAAATGGAAGAAGATTTATTAAATATCATGATGTTGAATACACGATAAGATACACTTTGCAGACTACACACAACGCGCTTGTACAATAATGTTAGTGTAGTAAACTTGTAGCCTTTCGTCCAAGCTAACGTTCATGGTAGGAGCGAACCGAGATGCACGTGCACCCCGGAAGTATCATTAGTCGCGATTGAATATACTACTACTACAGTCCTACATTAGCATTAGTTCTTTTACTTACAATAGGTGCAGTTATTTAGCGTTGTGACCTTTTGAATAAAATGTAGTAATACACAGCATTAGTCATCTTGTCACAGTGGACTCTTTGGCACAGCCCACAGGCCGAGATCTGCACGCCGCTGCCGACGTGGCGCTGGACGAGTTTCCCGTCTGTGTGGAGCTTCTAAACACGGTGAGCTGCTCTTCACGATGCAAACTACTCTTTTCATCTTATTTGTGATACTTATTGTTCGTTGTTGACAGCAGGAGACATATTGTTCCCTTACTTTTAAGAGCTGTTTATAAACTCGTTCTTCGTGATGTGCGATGGTAAACAGGGTTGAATAGCGTTCATTGTCGAACTGTACGAGACTGATGTCAGTCAGCAGGGAAATGGAAATGCACTCCCTAATGCATAACTATGGGGAATATATACAAGACCCAGCTTTGTATTATATTATTTTCCACTCTGCACATCAAAACAACAACTTGATTTGATATGGTTAATGATTGACTTGAATGGAAAGAACTTTCATGAAAAGTGTAAATGTAAATTTTACATTAAAAGAGAATAAATATTTCTTTTTAAATCACAAAACACCATTAATACAACAATTTAATAGCACGAGGAGCAATACACGTTTCGTGTTTTCTTGTATTAAACTTTTGTTTAAAATATTTTCTTGATCAATTTTATAGAGAACACTACTTTAATGTAGATTTATTTACGCAGTACGTCAACAAATAATTGGCAAGTAAAAGTGTGTAGATCATATACTGGGGGTCTATTCATGAATTTGACAACTGTCATTTTGCAAATACAGAAGCTGAGCGATGGGTGGCGATGTTGGTCAAACCATCGGGATATTGGAATGTGTTTTTAGTAGATCATATGTTTGATAAATATATGAATGCTTATCAATAACATCACTTCCAACAGGACAATGTCCCTGCCACCCTCCCTTGCTGAAGACTCATCAGCAGACACTGTTGCTGCTGATAAAGAGGACCCTTCCATTGATCCCATCCCAGGGGTCTCCCCAGAAGTGTCTTCGCCACTAGAGCCACAGTGCACAGATAGAGCCACAAGTGACGCCAGTGCTCAGCCTAACACCGCGGCAGTGTGTGAGCTCGCTGAACATGCAGAACATGCAGAACAGCAGGTCATCTGCGATCAGCCAGTTAGTCTGGGGCCGGACGCAGAGGACGCAACGGAATATGCGGAGGTTTGATTTGTAACTTGCCTTCCTTTTGCTTCCACATTTATTCTTCAATACCTGAGGCAGTTGCGTGAACTGAGATTTTTATGGAACATGGAAAGGAACAGTTTGCAGTCTGATTGAATAATGAGCTCAAAAACCAAAACATAAAATATTAAAACATAAATATTGTGGCCCTCAAAATTCATGTGATATTTTTGTTCTGCAATTAAGAATACATCTTTCGGGCCATATTTGATTTTTACACATAAACCTTGCATTGGGGGACACAGACACCTTAAATGCTGCCTGAGTATATATTAATAAAAAATTATATTAATGGACATTCTACGCACTTGTGTGTAATGTGTGCGTGTGTTTATTTAGGAGGGAAGCTCACCTCAGGAGACTGATGCAAGTTGGGTAGGCTGGAGCTCATGGGGGAAATCCATTTTGTCCAGTGCAACCTCGTCTGTGGGTAAGTATTGCATTATAGTATCTGCCTTTAGCACAGTGATAAGGCCTCGCCTGTGTCTGTGTGCAGGTCAGAGTCTGAGCTCTGTGAAGGTGAAGGCTGGAGAGGCACTGCGTCTCCACAGGACGTCTGTGGGAGAGGAGGCTCAGGAGGACGTGGCTGCAGAGACCTCTCACCCTATCGAGTCGCCCACTTCTAATAGAGGAGTGTTTTCATCAATCACTCATGCAGTAAGTGCAAGACACTGATTCCAAATACTTTTAAGTCTACTGTTTCATTTGATTTAATATATGATTTATACTTTTACTTATTACATGTTATTCCTTACACACTTTTTACACATAAAAATGTTTTATCAGGGAAAATCTGTGATCAGCGGTGGTCTGGATGCGCTGGAGTTCATCGGGAAGAAGACCATGACTGTACTAGCCGAGAGCGACCCTGGTTTCAAAAAGACTAAAATACTCATGGAAAAAACGGCATCCCTGAGTCAGGCAAGTTCTTTTGAATATTACTCTTGACTTGAATAAATTATGTTGCCGTAGTTACAGCACAGGCAATGATTTGATATAAATTCAATGTTTCTCTTGTGTCTGAAATGACTGTGCACTTCCTCAGATGTTGAAAGAAGCCAAAGAAAAGGAACGTGCCCGACTCTGTGACCATCCAATCAGTGCTCCCACTGCTCACTATGGCATTTTATTTGATGATTACCAGGGCCTTTCACATCTCGAGGCTCTTGAGATCTTGTCTAACGAGAGCGAAGCCAAAGTAAGTTATTTTTTATTCCAACTGTTCTTATTCTGTTCCTCACATATTTATATTTTTATCAGGTTCAAACCTTCCTGTCGTCACTGACCAAAACAGAGCAGGAAGAGGTGAAAACTGAATTGATTTTTATAAAAGACATCTTCTACAAGCAAGAGGATGAAGAAGAGACCAGAGAAGAAACCGAATTGAAAGAAGGCGAGGCGCAAGTGGCCAAGGACAATGGTGATCCACGTTCCTATTTACACTGTTCTACCCCCCTCTGTGAGTGAGCCATACCCAGGTAGAGGTGGTCGCACAACACTTTCCCAGGGACCATAGGTTTGAAGCCAAAGAAAAAAAAAATTGTCTACTTTGAATAGTTTTGCACAAAAGAAGTGCTGTTACAAAATTAAAGAAAGCTCAAACCAGTCAAACACAACCATACTTTTGCACAAGTGAAAGTAAATAGATGGTTTTTTATTTTACCTGCAAATCCTGAATCTCTGAGTTCTTGATGCTAGAGGCTAGTCGTGTGATTTCAGGTTCAGGTCTGAGCTTGCTGGTCTGCCCAACTGAGTCAAAGGCTTTTGGAGCTTGATCCTGGGTTGGTGCTGGGAGACCACTCACACAATGCACCACACAGGTCACATCACAAAGGCCTCATCTGCAATGACCAATCTTCAATCACATAATCTAGTTCTAATTGGTCAAGTCGTAATCTATGATGACTGAGCATGAACGGGAAATCAATCCTCTTATAGTGTGCAACTGACAATGATTGCGCATTAGGAGCCAATGGCGCTACATGAGTTGAAGACACTTTCTAAACAGCGATCTGGCTTCACCTAATTGTTTCCTTACATTTTTCTTACATGTTTTTTTTTCTAATTATTTATGTTATTGATTTTAGCAGTCATCAATCTCTTTCAACTTTTTTCTCTTTCACATATAATTTTTGAAAAACACTTTTAACAGATGTTTTATGGTTGATGATAAAAGAAAGAATGGAAATCTTTTGTTTTGTTTTCATCAGCGTCTGATGGCGAGGAGTTCCTGGGCATTCTCACTGAGCTGTTGTTTGAACTTCATGTTGCAGCCACACCAGACAAACTCAACAAGGTGACACAGCACAATACAACTATAGAGATGGTATTTCAAGTATTACTGTTGGTTTGACGTTAGTGGAGCTTCTTTTGTATAATATTGGTAAAATATTGTGCTTCTGGCTGATCAGGCATTAGATTTGTATGATTGAGTATTACAGCATTTAGCCTATGGTCCTACCCACAAATGTTTAGCCCATAACTGTAACAAACAAACTACAAATCCATGGAATACACTTTTTATTGTAAAGTAGAATTACATGCACTTGAGTCTTAAAGATTGGGGGCACTCACACAGTTCGATATGCAAGTTCTTTCCTTTGATGTTGTTCTAAACTATTAGTTCCCCCTCATATAGGACTTTACTGTACAATCGTGAAGTGTGTAGATGCATACTTCATAGTTTGTGATGATAATCGGAATGTGCAGGCTCGCAGGAGAGCCCACGATTGGGTGAGGGAGGCGGAGAGGTCTGTCACTACGGATACGGTTGGCAAGGAAACAGAGGACCAACTGAATAAAGAGGTGCTGGATGGGGAAAACACAAATGGAGGAAATGAACAAGAAAAAAGTGAAGATTCAAATGAAGAAACAAATGAGAAAGACCTAAGATCAGTGGATGTAAGGCCCTGTCACAAGCATTTGTTAAAACCACAGTCACATGTAGACAGTGTGATCCAGTTATTTGTTTGTGGTGCTTCTCTGCAGGCCGTCTACCTGTCGTCAGTCGGGAGTCTGGCTGAAGTGACTGCGCGCAGTATTGAGCAGCTCCACAAGGTGGCAGAGCTAATCCTCCATGGCCAAGAGCAAGAGAAAGCTGCCAGAGATCAGGCCCAGGTCCTGACAAGGTCTGAGGCCAGTCGCACCAGAGGCTATAATGTTCATTGTGATATTTTCCTAATCATCCTCTATTGATGCAGGTTAACATGTGCTATGTGTCAAGAAGTAGAGAGTTTGGCCAAGAAATTTGCTGACACGCTGCTTAATGTCGGGGTATGTTCTAAACCACCATAATTAATGTTTATAAATTGGATTTTCCTCAAAAGCCCACTTAGAAAACCTCATAACATTACACATTACTAGCATTGAAATAATCTTCCCATTCAAGAATACTTTTTATCTGCTCTTGGATTGGACAAAATGATGTCCTTAGCAATAAAATCCTGATAGACATGGATTCTTGCAATGCAATTTCATCACATTGTATATGAATGTATCTGCTTCAGAGTCCGAAGAAGGCAGAGGAGCTGAATCCACTGGTGGACACCGTACTACATGAGGTGAAATACACTTGTCCAAGCTGTGATGTTTTATCCGCTGATCAACATGAAAACACTTCTAATATTAATATTAGTTTTCTTCTTTTTGCAGGGCTCCAATAGCACAGTCTACATTCAGAATGCATTTCAGCTGTTGCTTCCAGTCTTGCAGATCTCTCATATCCAGAGCCTGCAATGCCACAACACAGGACAAGAGGAGGGCACTAAGCACTAACGCCCCAAAGATTCTAACAAGCCTCTTTGTTTAAACTCACTTGATTTCTGTCCATGTCATGCTTTAGGTGTACAGTAAATAGTGGCATGTTTTATAGAGCATAACTCTGGACCTTACTACAACTGTGTAAAATTCAAACAATGTAATATTTTTTGCACTCTATTGACATTTATATAATTCTATAGGAAAATATTGTTGCACATGAAAAAATTGAAGCTGGTTGTTACTAAACCAGTTATACTGACTATAAATATTTATTATGATTAACTAATAAAACACGTTTGTATATTTAAAATGTGAAATCTCATGTTACTAATTTCATGTACAATGCTGCTACATATAAAACGTTAAAAGCTTGTTTTAGTGGAACAAATCCTAACAAAATAAAAATGTGTGGATTTGTGAATTACACTTACTGGTTGAACAAAATGTACAGTTGATATTGCTTTCAAGACATGCTTTTAATAAATTCCTTCAAGAAGTTTACAAGACTTTTTGTAAAAATCACACAAATAATTGATTGTAATTTCACATCAAGCCTCCTCACAGGTGGATTGTGTTCTTCTGTTTGCATAAACCTTCACGTTATGCATAAGGTAGGCTACAGACATTTATATTCCAGGAACATCGCAAGCAAGTATGTTATTTCTCAGTGTTTTGGACGGTGGATGCTTCTGTGACCCCAGAAGAGCTTAAAACCATGCATGAAATCTGGTGCACATGGCATGATTGTGTGGCCTATCCGTTTTGTTACAGCTATAGCCAGCTCCGATTACAACCATCATCGCTATAGTCATTGAACTCTAGTAGAATCTGCAAAAATACATTAGATAGAATGTAATAATAATTTTCTACAATCGATGATGTGCCATTCACAGTTGCTCTCTACCAGGTGTATCCACTTCCTCGATAGCAGATAATGCTGTAAAAAGCACATAGACAATTAGAAAAACAGTATATGGTGCACACAGTATAGTCCTTTATAACATTAATACTGACCTGACCAGGAATGAGTGAAACGTGTTTTAACACTGAAAGCTTTAGAACAAATTGACAAATGTTGTTTATTGGGCCATTTCAATAAACATTTGAATACACCCTTATTGGGTTAAACGTACCTTTGATATTGATGACATCTTGATGTTTCTTGCCTGAAATACAATACTCACTGCTCAGTATTTCAATGTAGTTGAATTTTCAGAGAAATATAAACAGTTCATGTTCAGTACTGCTTTAATGTTAGCTATATCAGGATTTTTATTATTTTACAAAGCAAAGTTCAGATCAACATACCGGCAATCTTCTGAATTCGATCTGCGTAATTACAAGGGTGAATTTGGACTTTGTCTGAAAAATAAAACGTTTGATTTTTTTGTTTGCAAATAATTTCTCGAGTGACAGTGATGATGATGAGCAGCAGCACCACACACAGCAGAGAGACCCAGGCCCCCCACAGCACATGCCTCCACTCTGAGGAATAGAACAGGACTGGTTTCAATTTAAACCAGAATATCATACGCAGGAGTCGGCCATTAAAGGTGCACAATGGGGTCTGGTGATGGAGGCGAGAGAAGTAATGGAATTTTCTTGACACCAACCTTTACTAGGTTTCCATGGCAGCCCTCCACTTAGTATAGAAATCCAGAAGAGGCAGTAGCTGTAGGTGTCTGTGTCCTCTGATGGAGAGTAGTACACCAAACTATCTCTGGACATATTATTTATCTCCAATTCATCAAAGAGAACAAGGTAGTAGGAGCTGTGGTTGTAGTGGCCGAGCAAAGAGAGGTTTTCTGAGGTTATGATGTTCTGTTGGATGGTGATGGACACTTCGAAGGAAAAGGTTTCACCTGTGGACAAACTCAAGCATTACATTGCGCTCTTCATTCAATTCCACATACACAGGTATCTGGTGGCAAACTACTGGAGCTACAGCTGTTCTGGGGAAGACTGACAGAAGTGAGGCTACTAATCCGTGCCATCGGCCCCTCTGATCACCACCAATCATTCACACACACACACACACACACACACACACACACACACACACACACACACACACACACACACACACACACACATCATCTCACATTAGGGCTGTATGTATGGATGTAACAACAGTTTGGCATTTTACAACATAAGCCGCCCCACTGAGGCACCTGAGGTTGTTCTCAGAGGTCTCCCATCACAGCACTAACCAGGCCCTGTCCTGCTTGGAAGGCTTACTGTCAGAACGTGTTTCTTACAACTGGATCCCTCGATTGTCCTTGTGCACAGCCAGGAGGACATACTTCTTTGCCTGTTATCAATTATTCAGAGTTGAGTAAGTTATTGTAAAGTTGTAATTTATCCTAAAATACTGAGAGATGAAAACCTGTTACACTACTCTGAGTTACTCTGGGTCAACAAGAGGTACATTGAACATAGTTTTGTTTATGCTTGTCCAGTTTCAGAATGCAGAACGTTTTTTTTGTCATATTGATTGTTGTTTCCGTGTAATTTTAAGGAACTGTAAACGGTAGCACAAAGATTATGTGCAATTGGATTAAAAATAAATGCATGTAACTTCAGTTACTTTGATTGTAACTAGTAAAATATTTCTATTACATTTTTAATTTCTTTCCATTCATGTATGCCTCTCCTGTCTGTTCAGTGTGAATTTCTCTGCAGTGAGGTCCGAATTTACACAAAACACAAGCCCTTTTATTATTCAAGAAGTTCTTCAACATTATCAAATGCATGGATAGTTGGAGAGATCAAGTCTCTCAGTGTCTGGTTCAAAAGTGAGGGATCAGTACAGTGTGGCAGTGATCTTTGTATCCAACTGTTGTAGTGAAGAGGGAGCTTAGCCAAAAGGCAAAGCTCTCGATTTACTGGTCGATCTACGTTCCCACCTTCACCTACGTTCATGAGCTTTGAGTAATGTCTGAAAGGACAAGATCCCATCACAATTCCTCCCGATAAACTAGAGGAGGTGTTTGTGTGGATGGACAAATATGGATGGATGGATTATTAGATCGGCAACTCCTATATTTTTGGTCATTATTATTATAACGGATGCTTTTCATTCTGTTGCCCCATCCCTAAAAACGTAAGTTTTTGACCATGTTTTGTAAAAGCTCTGGTACCTAGTGTTGAACAGTTGGTATGAAGCGTTGATATGTTGACATCTGCCTTACATACGTAGCACTCTGCCTGGGTCATGTTCCTCCTGTCTGCTCTCTTGTGCTCCTCATGTCCAGTGCATGTGCTGTCCTCCCCTCCACAGAGCAGGGACCGTGCACAGACCACCGACACATGCAGCACTGAAACAAAGTGTAAGTGAACATTGTTAAAATGTATCCTCAGGAAGTGCGGATGAAAGAGAGGAGACAGAAGGAGTCAATCCAAATCTGGAGCAGAAACATCACAGCCGACGAAATAGTGTTGGGGTCCATCTCCGCTCTCAGGACAGACCCACCTCTATTCAAAGTGAAGAACTCTGGGAGGCACATGATGAAGGCCAGGATCACAAGGAAGGCGAGTTTAGTCAGAGCAGCTGTCATTGTTGCATCATAGCACAGATCCTCATTTTGTATGACCGTCTCCAGGACCGACTTGTGACTTGTGGTCTAACTTTAAAGTCGATAGAAAAAAAACAGATGAAACTTGGAGTTCAGTCTTCAAGAGCGACTGATCTAGAACACACCAGGCGAGGCAGCTTGCATCTGACTTCCTACTACACTTCCTGCTCTCTTCTCAGAAAATGTGAGAAAGAAACTCAAGGGTAAATCTTGTAAGTAAATGCGTCGTCTGTCTGTGGAAACGTACATGTTAAGAATGTTTGGATAGGTCTGTGGCTAAATGGAACAACAAAAGACTCAACACGTTTGTGTCTGATCTGGGCACAACAGGGTGTCTTGAAGGATTGACAGATGCTTAGAAATAAGAAATTTTAAGAGAAGGGGTGATGATTATGCTAAACTTTTATTTTTATTTTTTGGGTAAAATACATTTAAAATAAATTAAAGCCTGTGGCCATTATTCTCTTTCACCTTTAGTCAGACACAAACCACATTCCAGATCAAATGATTTTCAATTATTATAAATTATATTTTATATATTTTTACCTTTTTATCAAACACACTGGAACATGTTTTTTCTGTCTTGGACTGGTCACCTCCAGTCTCTCTGCCTAAAACTCCAAATCAGGTTAAATCTAGGGCTAATTTGACTTAATATTTCAATGCAATTTCTAAGCCTATTGTTTTACAACAATATATATTTGTTTAACTATAAAGTGCTAACCACTCAATTCCTCTTATATCATGTATGTCACTTGTAAATATCACTTACAATGAGATGTGATAAATCAAAAAGGTTCAGGCAGAAAACATTTGAAATCCCTATTGGTGAATTTACAGTTCAGACTTCCTGATTCATGCCAGAAGGTTTGACTGGTTTAATGGTTATATTTGTATATCAAACACAAAATATTTAAATCTGGGTGAGTTTTCTTTTGGGGCACTCATAGGTAAAATCCTACCGCTTTGTTATTCCTGAACAAGCATCAAAATCTGGAGATGACCCAGGTGTTACATGCACTGTGCCGACTTCTGTAGCAAAAATATTCACACAAGCTGTTCTGTGAATATTTCAACTAATACATTTTTATATTAATGACATGTTTAGCATGTCCAGTTCACTTAAAATAATCTTGTTTGCAGATGATACCAATATTTTTTATTCAAATGATGACTATACCAATTATATTAATACAATTAACTCGGAGCTAGCCAAATTAAAATCATCGATGGATGAAACCCCACATCAGACACGTAGAGACCAAGATCTCAAAATGCATTGCAATGATAAATAAAACCAAATATATCCTTGACTATAATGCTTTGAATTTATTGTATTGTTCGCTTAAACTTTGGTGCTGAGGTGTGGGGAAACAACTACAAAAGTTTACTACATCCCCTCAAAATATTACAGAAACGTGCAACAAGAACAATAAACAAAGTGGGCTATCTCGATCACACTAATGTTTTATTTTTTAAATCAAAACTCTTAAAATTGGAAGACCTGGTAAATCTTAACACTGCACAATTGATGTTTAAAGCTAATGCAAAAACTTTACCAGCCAATATTCTAAAGACATTTATCAAAAAAGAATATGAGCATAACTTGAGAGGATGTAGTAACTTTAAACTCCCAGCGGTCAGGACCACACGGAGGAGTTGGTGTGTATCTGTCTGTGGGGTGAAGCTCTGGAACAGCCTGAGCCTGGAGCTGAAGCAATGCTCAAGTATCTATCAATTCAAATCACATTTTAAAAAGATGATATGGACAAAATATGAGAGAGAAAAATACAAATAAATCACTACAGGGTCAATAGTTATTGTTTTGGTTATTACCAGTATGGGTATAAGAACATTCATGATCACCGTAAAATAAAAGCAATAAAACAACAGGGTTACATATGTAGTTATGTGTGAAAACAGGTGTATGTATGCTTGTGTGTGTATATATCTGTATAAATAACATGTGAGAACAGGTGTATGTTTGCTTGTGTTTATATTTGTCTGTATAGAGAACATTTAATATTTCATACATTGGTGTATTGAGTGTAGAACACAGGTGCAGCAGTGATTGGTGTTGCTTTGGTGGGCATTGGCGTAGGCTGGTTCTGTGTCTCTGGAGGTGGTGTCTGGTGGTATGGAGTGGAATGACCTCACTGTCTATATTGCATTTGGACACACAAAAGAGTATGAATTAAAAACAAAATAAGAATAAAAAATAAAATTATAAAAAAGTATCTTCTGCCTGAAAGTGGAGCTAGGACAGTCACGGTGGTGATAATCGGCTCTATCAAAGGTAAAGAAACTCTGTATAAGTGATTAAATTCCTTTTCATCTGAAAGAACAAAACAATGGTTTGAATGATCAGTGAGGTGGTTGCTCATGGTGTAGTTGGAGCCTGCTGTGCGTTGGACCATGGTCCTCTGCATGATTGGTCTACTGCTGTGGTGGCTGCTTCTTGTGACTGGAGCTGGCCTGAGTTGGGGCGCTGGGCCTTGCTGCGGCACATTGATCATTGTTTCAGATTTATATTTATTGGAGTATTAGATTGCACTGAACATGACAAATTATTATTAAGGTATTATTTATTCAATGCTAAACAACAACATTCTTGCATGTTTTTGAATTATGTTTATGGGGTGGGAGTCGACAAGTTTTTACTTCCTTCTCACTCCATTTCGAGCTAACAAATTGTAAATAGAGGACTTGTAAATACATATTGATATTCATATTGTAGATATACATCACATGGTGAAACTAGAGCAACTTTTGCTTGATTGTATAGTTTTGTTTATATATTTTCATGTATAAGTATATACTGTAAGTACAGCAGGCAACATGTATAAAGAATTATGTAAATATTGTAAATACTTGTGATTGTAAAATTTCAGCTCGAATGAACAAAATCAATCCATCAATCAATCAATGAAGGAATGGATGATACCTTAGTAAGTCCCACACTGCCAAACGAGACATCAGATGTGTGAAATTGCATTATCTTTGATATCTTATTTTTCCCTTTCTTATTTTGCACAAGGACGAGTCTCCACCACACTCAGCTTTGTTCGTCCAAGAAAATCAAGGTTAGTGTCACGTTTATCAATCATAAATATAATAATGACATGAACGAGGCAGGGGTGGGAAATTATTTTCTTCGGAGGGCCACATTTTGCCCTATTGTGGAGGGCCAGACCCAATTTCTCAAGGTTCATTTTGTATATAACATTGCAAAAACTTAATTATTACAATACGATTAAAAAAAATTCACTTCTGGTTGGACCCAAATCTGCATTTTGTTGCACTGACAACAAAGTTTAATCTAATCTGATCTAATTTTGGTTTCATAGAACAGAATAAATGTTTAACATGTCATAGTAGCACAAACCTTCATTAAGTATGGACTCTTGACTCATAAATAAGTAACAGATCGGTTTGGATCAGTTGGGAAGGGTCCTGGGGCTAAATAGGAATGTGATCCAGGCCGCACTTTTCCCAGGTCTGCTCTTAGGTAATATTCTAATGAGCTTTAAGGATAGTTCCTCTGAGACTTCACAATCTATTTTTATCAAGAAATTCGTTGTAACAAAAACATGATCTTGTGACAGGTATTTCATTTCATGGATAATTCAACAAGTGAAGCCTTTGACAGCTTGATTTAACCTAATTCATCTCTTTTAAAACAAAGTATTATACAACCAAATGGAAAACAATGACTTTATGTTTAATGTTGAATTGAATGTGAAAAAGAAATTCTCTGTGAAGACAAAAGTGCCGTGAGCCTTTGAAAAGCTGTGATTATAACCACCTCTCCGCTGGTTCTAGTTCAATTGAATGCAGTTATTTTGATCAAAATATAGTGAATAGATCTTGGGTCCTCCTGATTCCTAATTAAGAACCAAATCCCATGTTAAATTCTGGCGGTTTTATACTGTGAAGTCCATCCATTTTCTTCCGCTTCATCCGTTGCCGGGTCACAGAGGCAGCAGTCTAAGCTGCCCAGACTTCCGTATCCACACACACTTCCTACAGCTCGTCCGGGGGCCAGCTGAGAGACCTAGTCCCTCCAGCGTGTCCTGGGTCTTCCCCGGGGTCTCCTCCTGGGGAAGACCCAGGGGAAGGAAGTCAACAGATGACTATTGTGTGAGGTCATCATTGTAAATCCTATATTAACAGTAAGTTTTATAAATTATTTGAGGGGAAATAAACACAAAATTAAAAAATGAATTTTGCATTTTAATCGGAAGAAATAATCGGAATGAAATATGATTAGATATTCCATTGATTGTGATGAAAACACAAAGAACAAAGGATTTTACTACACTTCACTTCACAACTGCGGCCCTTTTTCCTCTGCTCTAACCTTTGTGCTGAGAAAATGTCATGTCAATAAAAGCTTTTTAACACGGGGAAATCAATGACCTCCGATTGCACCTATTTTCACTCTCAATACTGGAGGCCGTTGCCGGGAAAAGGCCTGAGTGCAGCTTGTTGATCTGACTTAACACAGAGCCTTTATCTTTGGCTCTCTTTATCGGCCACATCTCGCATTGTAAAGTTTTATTGAGCTAAAAGGGAAAAGGAGCCATATCACCATAAAAATTCACAATGGATTAAATCATATCTAATGAAACAGACACATTTGATTGCTCTAAGCTATGTTCATGTTTGCTGATAAGCTGTTGGAAAAGTAAACCTATTAAGCTACTGTTGGAGAATAAATGCAATTAGAACATTGCTTCACATCACAAAAGTGAAATAGATATACAGTGGAAACTGGAAACTTTCCATCTGGAAGAATGTATGTTTATAAATGGACATGTTCTTTCTTACAGGATTTACATTAGTGCTGTTATTTTTCACCAAAATAATCTATATTTGCTCATGCCACATAGCCACAAAGGCAGAGAAGCGAGATGCCCACTTATAGACTCACCCACCCAATTATAGTTCCACCACCATAATAGGAGGGAATGGGAGACATT